ATCCCTGGAAACATTCAAGGCCAGGTTGGATGGGGCTCTGAGCAATCTGATCTAGTTAGCAGTGTCCCTGCTCACTGCAGGGGGGTTGGACTAGATGACCACTAGTGGTCCCTTCCAACCCTAAACATTCTATGATTCTATGATTCTATGATCTGTAAAGAGGAGCTTCATCTTTGGATGAAAGATTGGCAATAATTTACTGACTTTCAAAAGAAGAGCTATTCCAAGTTCTGCACTGTCAATGTGAGCTTGTGTAGGTCATTTGGACAAACATGGTATCAGAGGAGAGAATTTCAAAAGGCTTCCACTTAATGGATGCTGAACTCTGACAATCCACTTGCCTTTGGGCTCATGGATGGGGAACAATCTTTGTGATGACAATTACACTGTTTCTTTGATCATGCAGTGTGGTCCATTGTACTGTGTTGCATTTGCATGGAGTGCTGTCCCACGTTCCTCAGAGTCATTGCTACTGCAGTAAGGAGGTTTATTTTAAAAATGTAGAACAACAGGAACCAGAATGTGCTAATGATTAAATTATACTAGTTACTATGTAAGTTTAAGTAACAGTTAATGCACTAATTTCAGTATAGGAAATACACTAAAAAAGGAATAAGAGTTCCTCTTGATCTTCATAATTAATGAGAACTGCCATGATCCTTCAACATATTTCCACCCACACTTTCTTTTATGTTAACGAGTGTGTAGGAACACGCAGCAGCCAGACTAGTAGAAAGCCACCTTTCAGAGCACTTACCCTCACACTGTAGAAGCCACGTGTGCTCCCCTGAAGGGTCCTGGAGCCAGACCTTGTCCCTGTTGAATCCTGGCCAACAGTTTCATTTCCTTTGGTGAAATGGAACAAAGTCAAGCCTTCACACAAGAATGTACCAAACATGTGTGTCTGATCTACATGCACTCAAATGAACATCATTGGCTGTGCTGAGCATTTCTGGAAGGTAGAAGAGTGAAATTCATATTGCTTAACTTTAAATATCTCATTTGGCCTAATTCTCCACTACCCTTGTAATTCATGGATGGAAGTGAGCATTGTTAGAGAGCAATTAATCCATTTTAGATGTCTGCAGTAGGATGAGGGGAATTGCATGCACCCCAAGTGCCTGTTTCTGTGCACTCATTATATAGGAAGTCTAGACAGTTGGCGTGGATATAGATGTCTGAAGACAGATGAGAGGTTTCTTTTGCCTAAGGAGATACAACAGAATCTGCTGAATATTACAGGATTTGCAGTGGCTCTTGGTTGGATAACAAATGCCTGAAAACATGGCACCACTTGGCTGAATCGTTGCAACCATGCAAGATCTTAGTAATTTAAAACTGTTTACAAGAAGTTTCTGAACTTTAGTCTTGGCCTAGAATGGGTAAGGCCTAAAGCAGTCACTGATCCTCAAGATAAGTAGTGCTTTCAGCAGCTCTGTAATCAAAGGAAAAAAACAGCTTTTCTTTAAATCACTGCTTTAATCTTGTTTCTCGCACCAGGGCTGGAATTTTGTGCTCTGCCACCAAATGCAGCAGGCTATTTATAGTGTCAGCTTGAATGAATAGTAAGAACTTACGCTCTTGTTGCGGCTGCATCTTTGAGATGATGGAAATCACATAACTGCAAGTTGACAATAATGAAATTGCACAGTATTTTCAAATATAGTTGTTTCTGCCATCACTCAGTTCCCACAGTACATTGGCAGGGCAAAGGGATACATTTGGCAGGGATTTCTAGGCATGTGGTAGGGAAAAGGCTGAAAAGATTCAACTTTGAAGCTTTTGTTGACTTCTGGGGTCCTGATGTCACTGCTTCACGTGGCCTGTATGTGCTCTCTCTAGCTTCAAATGTAGCTGCCTTTGGGGAACAACTGCAGGATCAGGGCTTTAGGAAGCGCAGCCTCTTGGTACGTGACAAGTCAAGTGTCTCATCAACTCTTTGCAGAGAGGTGCTTCATCTCTTGCTACTGCCTAATAAAATGGAAACATACTTGAACGCTTTGGCCATTTCTTATCTGCTGTCCTTATTCCAACAATATAGATAACAGCAAAACACAGTGTGTTTGCTCTTTTTCTTTCCC